GGACAACCCGGGTGTCTCTGGGAACCGAGAGAAAGAGCACAAAGCAAAAGAAGGAGCAAAGAGAAGGCGAAGGAGAGCAGGCGCCAGGGTCCTGAGGACTCGCCTGGAGGTGGCGTGGGGGGACACTGAGAGGGCTGAGAAGGCTCCGGGGGTGGCGCGTGGCCTTCAGGCTCACCTCCCGCTCCCGGCTCCCCTTCCCTCCCCTTCCCGGGCTCCCGGCGCCCTCTCAGAGCAGCTCCTTTCTCCTCCCCTCGGGCCCTCTCCGCTCCGGCGCGGGGCTCCGTCCCGGAGATTAAGAGAAAGGAGGGAGGGGAAAAGGGAGGGGGCGGAGGAGAAAGGAGGACGATCCCTCCAAAGGCGGGTGTTGAGTTTCAGCTCTGGACCCTCGGGCCAAACTGCACGCCCCCTCCCGGCCCTTCTCCCCAGCGCCTGCTCCTGCCCGACGTCGCGGCGGGCCTCCAGGTGGCCTGTTCCTCTCCTTCCTGGGAGGCTTCCTCTCCCCGTCACGCCCGCGCTCTCGCCCGCCAGCCCCGCGCCTCTCTGCCTCCCTTTCATTAGCCCCACATCTGGCTCTCCAGCAGCCGGCAGCGTGCTCCTTCCGCCTTGCTGGGGTCCTCAACGGAATCTCTCCATTCCCTTGGCGTGGCTTCTGTAGGGGTGGCAGTGGTAGCCGCGCCGTTCCAGCGCGGAGCAGGCCGGGGGTCTGGCCTGGACACGGATTCGGGCCCTGACGAGAGAACCTGAAGCCTGAGCTCCTGGTCCCGGAGCTGCGGGCGGGCTGGCCGGCTGTGCCGCCTCTTGGGCTTCTCTGCTAGTCTGGGCCTGTCCCCCGCCCTCACTCTGGCTCACTCCTGCTGCCATGAGGAACAGAAGTGGGGACTGCGGGCACAAAAGGACAGAGGAGCTGGGATCTGGTCTCTCCAGGAGCTTCATCTGAAAGGAAGGGGCTCTTGGGTCCCCACACCTTTCCTCCTCTGCGGTGGCTGCCTCCCTCCAGCTACCCCTCACTCCCAGTTCTTCCTTGTGGGGCACACATCAAGGCCTCTGAGAGGCTCCAGAGGACCCTTCTTTCTTCCCTTTTTAAGGTTCCTGGAATTTGAAAAGTGAGATGTCAAACAGGATTGAAAAATTGTAGTATGTTTTCAATGTTTACATTTAACACATTAACACTTCAAACACATAAGATAGACAGTGCCTCTAAGTATAACCTCATTTGGAGATAACATCAGAAGTCTAATTTAAGGCCTTTTGTGAACCTGAGGCCTTGGATAGAGGCTCTGTACCTCCCCTCCCAAACACCCCCACCCCTACATTCCACTGGCCCACTCTTCCTGGTATCTGCCATGAGGGAAGGGGGGATATACCTGGCCCAGCTCCTTCCCCTCCCTGTTGCTTGAGCGCCTATGAACACACTCAGACTCCCTTAGGATGGGAGAGGAACTTTTAAGTTTCCAGATGCATCTGAAGGGAGAGCTCCCCCAATCCAGCTCCAGCCTGGGCCAACCTCTTCCAGACCTCAGCCTTGGGGGCCCTGGCTGCCTGGAACACAGACATGTAGCTGCTAGGGAGTGACTTGGTAAGGACTTTGTCCAGGGGACTGCCAAAGCAAATTGGGGCTCATCATGGAGGTGGGCAGGAAACCCAGTTCCCAAGGGTGAACTCTCTGACTGGCACAAGTAGAAATAGATGGAAGCCAGAAAAAACTAAGCAGGAAGTGCTAGGTCCTGGCCAAATGGTGTTTTGGGAGATGGGCAAGGAGGTGCGGTGCTGGGAGCTGGTTGCCTGGGGAAACAGAGGCAAGGGGAGCAGAGTGCAAACCTGCCAGGAAACAAGCCTGTGCTTCCAGAGTGCCTCCCAGGGAATGCTGCCACTAGGGAGTGAATCCTGGTTTGTCAGCTGTGTGACCTTGGTCAAGTTCTGGAATGTCTCTGAAGCTCAGTTCCTCATCTGGAGCAGTGACTTTGGTGAAGAGTAAATATATGTAAAGTACGTAGCACAGTGGTTTTTCCTCTTCACTTTGGCTCCCCTCTTCCTCCTCCCTGCCCCCTCACCCCCCAGCTTGTACCTTCCCAAAAGCTCAAAGTGTTTCTTTGTTGAGGGCAGGAGACTTCTCTCTGTCCTTTATGCTTCATCTCTGCCCTCTCCTTTGCAAATAGAGGTTTAAAGTGATTCTAACTTACTCAGAGAGGGCTCCGGGCCCCAGGTAAGGCTGGAGAAAACCCAGGCTGGGTGGGTAACTAAGACCCTGCATGGATGGCAACCTCAGGCAGGGAGCCCCTCAGCTTCAGGGCTTGCCTTTGCCACTATTCACGGGGTCCCCTCCATCTGATTTTTGGGTCCCAGTCTTCTTTCCCTCTCTTGTTCCTTCCCAGCAGGGCCAACTAGCTGGTCTCATCCTCACCTACCCTGTGACTTCCTTGAACTGTTCTTGTTCTTCCTGCTGCTCAAAATTTCTCAGGTGCTCACAGACTTTTCTAGTTCTCTTCTCTTTGGACCCCACAGCATCAGGGTTGCCTGAGTTCTAATCCTGGTTTCAATACGAGCTAGTGATCTTGGCAAGCTATGTGACCTTTTGGAGCCTCTGCTTCCTTGTCTGTCAAATGGGATGATAGTGGACCTGAGGATTAAGAGAATTCTGAGAACAGTGCCTGGCCCATGATGTGTAAACATTGGCTCAAGGCAACTGTTTTTATTATTATTTGATGCCAGCTCTGTGGGGCAGGAGAATGTCAAGGACATGATGCCTGCCCTGGAGAAACTCACATCACATAGATCATGATTGAATACAGTTGATACCATCCCACTGGCCTTGGAATAAAATCCAAATGCTCCACCACAGCCTGTAAGACCTTATGTGATCTGGTCCTTGCCCACTTCTTCACCTCATCTCATTCCACGCTCTCCCTTATCCTTAATTTTTCATCCACACTGTCCTTCCTGTTTCTCAGACATACCAAGCTCTTCCACCTCTAGGATTCTGTGTGGCCTGTTCCCTCTGCCTGGACCACACTTTCCCTGGGACCTTTCCATCACTATGTCAAATTCTGCATCTTTCAGAAAGGCCTTTCCCAGCTTTTCAAGTTAAAGTTGTCCCCTTCCCCCCTTCACTCCCCAGTAATTCCCTATCTCATAACACTGTTCCAGTTTCTTCATAACACTTATTATTATCAGAAATGATCTTGTTCCTTGTTGGCTGTCTGTCTTCTCCTAAAACATGAGCTTCATGAGGCAAGGATCGTACCTGGCTTGTCCTCTGCATTCCTAGCATTTAGGATGATGCCTGGCCCATAGTAGGTGCTCAATAAATATTTGGCAAGTGGACAAATGACCAGGGCAGCCATGACTGTAGGACAAACTGAGTAGGCTGAAGGCCCTCTGTGGGGAGGCAGCAGCCCCGGGCTAGGGGAGGCAGTTGCTGGGCTTTTTGTCCTGTTCACTCTGATTCTCTGTGTGTCTCCCAGGCCAGAATGGGTTCTCTTTGAAAGCAGGCTCCAGAGCCTAAGTACCTTTGTAACTGAAAGTGATACTACAAGTAATTAGCAACTAGTACCATCATCACCCACCCATCAGCACACGGGAGCCTGTCCTCGAGGCCTCCGTCTGAGCCAGCCGTTCACCTTTAATTGTGGGATCTGGGGAGGTTGTGGTGGGGAAGTGCTTCAGCGCTGAGAACAGCATCAATTTACTAGCAGCACAGAAGTACTTCGGCATTTTTCGCCACCAGCGCCCCGGCCTCACATCAGGTGAGCGCCAATGAGCTTCAACAGGCCCTGCCAAATCCTGTGGTTTTAGCACAATTTCTGGAGCTGCTAAGCTGGCTGGCACTTTTGTGGCCATCCAGGTGACACCCCCTGTCCCCCAACCCCCCTGCCAAACACAAACATTTCTACCAACGAGAAAAGAGGCCTGAGGTGAAGAGTTGATCAGAGGCAGGAACAGGACTTCAAGGCAGTGGGTGAGAATTTGAATGATTTTCTGAGGAAGGGCAGGACAGCCATTGGAGCATCTTGCAAGCTTTCCTGGCCAAGGCTGTGTCTTCTGTCACATCTTCCCTGCTCTTTCCTGCTAGGGGCTTATCTCTTTCCAGAAGCTCAGGGGTGGGACTCCCAGCTGGTCCCCTGTGGCTGCCAGGTCAGGCCCAGACAGGTGAGGACACGTGGAGACGCCCTTGATGTGAGGTGCTGGGTGAACTTTCCTTTGTTTCCGCCTCCAGCATTCTCCCCGTTGCCACCCCCATCTCTCCACACCCCCAAGGGTTCCTGGGAAGCTGAAGTGACTCAGGGATTCCAAAACTAGTCACCCAGGAGGAAAACCCTCTGGAAAATGTTTCTCATGGCAGGGAGTCACCCTGAGGAGACCCACAGCTGCTACTGAGATAAGGGCTGATGGGAGGGGGGTGGGGTGGGGGTGGTGTGGCTCAGAGTGCAGGTTCTGGGTCAAGCCTGGTCATCACACCAAGCCTGGGGTGACTGTGTGCTTGCAGGGGCCCTCCCCCTGCCCTTCAGGGGTTTCCTCAGAGGAGGTCCTGGTAACGTGGCAGGTGGACACCCCAAAGGTCTGCCCAGCAGGGAATGTCCTGGGTAACCAATGGAGGGCCTTTGAAGGATCAGCAAATGAAAAGAATTGCTGGGATCACTTCCAGCTCTTGAGAGCACCCTTTCCTGGATGAGGACCAAGATCAAGAGGTCTGGGCCCATGTCAGGCTCTGAGGCCCTGATTGGTTTTGGCGAGGCCCCTAGGGATCCAGCTCTTCTGAAAGAACACTGTGCCCTTAGAGCCTCTTTCTGGGGTTGGGGCTTGCTCGGGAACACCAAGAGCTACCCTGGGGACCATGTGCCAAGGCCAAAGGCTGGGAAATAGGGAGCTGGAGCTGCGGATCCCAGCCTGCTGGGCTGAATGCCTGAGCAGGCGGGAATGCCCCGTGGCCTCCAGCAGGTTCAGGTGAAATCTGTCCCAGCCCACGCCCACACGAGTAGGAAAGCCCTTCCATTTGCCGCCTGCCAAGGGTCACCGCTTCCACGCCAAGAGCTTTGATCTGGAGCTGGTCAGGGCTGGGGTGAGAAACCAGTTATGCTCCCTCCTGTGTGATCTTGATTAGATTACTCAATTCTCTGGGTCTCATTCTCTTCATCTTAATATGGGGACAATACTTTCCATCTCACAGTTTTATCAGAAGGAGAAGATGAGGTGATGCATGTGTGGGGCTGGGCACCATCCTGCCCAGCGCCGTGTGGCAGTGAGAAGGCTCCTGGGAGCCCGGGGTGGAGTGTGGCAGTGGGAGGGGGCTGATATGTTCCTGGCCTCAGTGGCCTTCCTAGGTGCCCCTGCTCTCCCAACCACTACCAGTTTCCCCTAAGCCCTCACCCAGCCCCACCCCCCAGACTCACCAATGCAGCCTCTCCCACTTCTCTAGAATGGCCCCTGACCTCATCGCTCCTCTGCTTTGGGGCTGCTTTGCTCCAAAGCATTTGAAGGATTCCTTCCCACTCTGCAGTTTAAGTTATTCCTGGTTCCCTGTGTTTATTTCCCGAGTCCTTGGTTACCACAGGAGTATTTTCTAAGGGAAAGCACATGCAAATCAGGAAGCCTCATTCTAGAGACAACGTCTGTGTATGAGTGTGTTGGTGGCGGGCTCATGGGTGTGGGGGCGACGGGGGTTGGTGGGCAAGGATGAAGTGTAAAAGACTGGAGGAAAATAGGCCTGCTCTCGGAGAAGAGCCTCCCAGGTGGGGTGGCCCCTGGCTGACCTGTGGCTTTGGGGTCAGGCCCAGCTAGAGCTTTGCCAGCACACACGTACTCTCCTCCTGGCTGATTGTAGCCCGTGGAGCTGGGGTCCTGAGACTGGATAAGCTCACCCCATGGCCTGAGAGTGACCGCGCTGGCCCTCGACCCCCAGGCCCTGTGAGTAGGGGTGAGGTAGGCTAATCGGAGACCTGGGTGCTCCTGTCATGTCTTAGCTGAGGCTGTCACCGTGCTCCTCCTTTTCCTGGCTCTCCC